CATGTACTGAAACTGCAAGGATGATAAAGTTCCTATCAAAGACTCAAATAGAGCTGATAAATTTCTCTCCTGATGCATAGCTATCCTTCTTGCAGAAAGATCCGTATAGTTTCCGTGTTGTTCCGTACTTCAATACAGATCCGCGAGCGATCCGCGTTGATCCGCATTTCAGCCTGATCCGCATTTGATCCGCGTGGATCCGTATTTCAGGCAGGCCCCACAACAACTACCTATACCTCGCGTAGGCGAGGCCAACAAGTGCAGATGAAGAAGGTGAAAGAGATATGCATTACAACTTTACTGTTATCTCACTTACAGACTACAGTGAATTAGCAATCATTGCCCCAACTTTCCCAGGAGAAGAAGCTGAAGATAATGATGATTTCTCTATTGTGTCTAGAGAGAAAAGTTACATCGATGTAGCTACTAATTTTTTTAAAGTATCACACCCCCCTATTAGGTAATAAAAGTGAATAAATTGATTTTTGATTATAGTCCAAATGCAGAATTGGCTCTTTACTGGTTATAAACTATTTCCAAGCTTTGAAATCTAATGAGGTTAGGTTTTAGACTTTGATGCAATAAGAATGTTTGTAAAATGTAGGGTATCTTCATTGAAATAATTAAAAGCCCTCGATGTAGTAGCTTTTATCATTCAAATATCCTACACAAGACAAAGCACATGCCTGACACTATATGGCCATTGTCTGATGATGTTATAGTAAGTTTACTATCATTCAGTTGCTTATTATTTTTCTAAATCCGCACTTCAACTGAAGTCACAGCAGATATTCATGTATTTAGAGGAATTGACAGCGCTACATTGCCCTCATGGTAATTTAAGAAAGGCAATTGCGGTACATTTGCTATGGCCAGAGGTAAGCCTGCTAATATCACTTGTGAAGTGTTGACATTTTTTGATAGGCAATGATAACATACATTTCCATGGATAAAAAAATTTCTAAAGATGATGCTACAATGTTATATAAAGACAAATTAGGATTAATTTAATTGCATGATAGCATGTCAATTTTCGATTATTAAAGTTCTATGCCAATTTGATTTAATATTGTTACCATTTTGATTTTGTATAATAATTAATAAGAGTATTTTGATTATTAATCAGCTCTATACCAATTATTATTCCCTATTGTCTTGTAGGCTACATACCGCCTTTAGCTTTTGATGCCAAGTTTCCAACGTATACTGTTCCGCATTCTATGGTTTATATGGTTCCGCATTCTAGACACCCTGCGGAACTATACGCGTCGACTCCGTATACGTCTGTGTACTTTCCGTATCACTCGTTCCGCATTCTTCGTAGCATTTCGCACGTTCCGCATTTTAGTAACGACCGCAGGGAGCAGGCTAGCAGCCTAACAGAGGGGCCTGCCTGAAATACGGATCCACGCGGATCAGGCTGAAATGCGGATCAACGCGGAACGCTCGCGGATCTGTATTAAAACTTGACTGATCTGTCTGAAAGAATGATATCTATGCATCAGGAGGGAATTTTTATTAGCTCTATTTGAGTTTTTGATA